CTGGGCTGGTTCCTCCTTACCAAGCATTGAAAGTTCATTGTCTGGTTAAGACATAGTCCTGCATGAGATGGATCTTCTGCACACATTTTCACTTAGCTTGTGGCTTCTCTTTTATTTATTTATTTATTTATTTATTTATTTATTTATTTTTATAAATTCTTTTCAAGAATTTTCCTTCAGATGCTTACATGCCTGGGTTTCCCAAAGTAGTAGTTTTACCTGGTAAACGAGTTGGAAACCAGCTTCATTTACTGCGAAGAACACCAGGTTATCAGTTGGAAGATGGACACATAGGCTGCACAATCTTGAAGAACTAAGTACCTGACTTCTCCCTTCAGCCATCAAAAAAGGAAGAGCTATTACTATTTGCCCTCCTGGACAGACGGCTCCGTGAGTGAAGCACTGCCAAACAAACATAAGAACTATTTCCAGAACTCATCTTAAAAAAGCAAAAAAGAGGGGGCATGGCAGTGTATGCTTCTAATCCCAGTGCTGGGGAGGACCCTTGGGACCTCTCTAGCCAGTTATCATTGTCTGCTTCATGAGTTCCAGGCCAGTGAGAGACCCTGCCTCAAAAGATAATGTAGATGGTGCCTAGGGAACAATATCTGAGGTTGTCTTCTGACTTCTCCAGAGATGCACGCACACACACACACACACACGATATACACACCTGCACAAAACATATACACACACACAAGATATACACACGTGCACAAAACATATACATACACATATATACACACAAGATATATACACCTGCACAAAACGTATGCATGCACACATATACACACACGATATACACAGCTGCACAAAATATATGCATACACACATACATGCAGGGATGGAGGAGAGGCAGTGAGATCTGCCTTGCCTCTCATTGATTTCATTCTGAAGATTAAAACCAGTGTAAAAGAACAGGGCATGATGGCTCATACTTAAAATCCTCATAGCCCAGGGGCCACAGTAGGAGGATTGTCATGGGTTTGAGGCCAGACTAGACTACTGTGTGAGACTGTCTTTAAAAACAAAAAATAGGTGAATTTAGTTTATACATGTAAACTTTTACAGAATTGTTATTTTATTAGTTAGCTTTCTCCCACTCTTTCCTCTTTCCGTCCAGGATTACACATTTTAGTCCACACTAGATAATTACTTTCTTATGAACCTAAAGTGGAAGGACGCTCACTGCAGCGTGAGTCAGCCTCTAAACTCACAGGGAGACAGGAAGGAAGTCGCTGCTAAACTCTCTGCTATTCCTAGAAAAATGGAGCAGAGCAAATGTTCATGCTGCACTCTTCAGAGTGTGAATTATACACCCCACAATATCATTATCACTCGGATCTGTAGCCAATAGCTACACCTCCAAGTTATATATCTATCAAATGTTCATTTTAATAGTGATGACTCATAATGAATGGATGTCCTCATAGTTCCATTCATTAAACTATACGCTTGCCGCCTGCGCATGTAAGCTGCCAATTCCAGACTCACATCCCTGTCAACCAGTCTGTACCCCTGTACCCCCCCTTCTAGTATTCATTAACACACACACACACACACACACACACGTGCAGACATGCACACTCACATATGCAGGCATGCACACTCACACATTCTCTCGAGAACAAGTTTTCTTCTGCACACTGGGAGAACAGATGCTGTGGAAGTGTTACCAAGTTGCAGAGACTCTGCACATCCTTCTCTTCAGAGGCATCCCTGTGATGCCTGCCTTCTGCTGGTCCACACTTCCGCCTCTGGACAGGAAAGCTATGCAGGGAGAGACCAAATGCTTTCTTCACACCAGCTCTTTTCAGAACAGCAGAAAAACTGTCAAGATCTGTGACACGGGTTTCTCTCTTTTGGAAGGAGTAGACTCGTAAGATATAGAAACAAAGGGGGAGCTGTTGTGTGCAACCCAGAGGGAGAGATGCTCTTGCTCTCTCTGGATTTTGTTCATGCTGCCCCTCGTTCCTACGTCCTTCCTTATGCCTTGGTCTCTAGTGTTGCCCTTTCTTCCTACTTAGCCATCCATGCTTCTCTATTCCTGTCTGGGTACAGCCAAGTTTATTTGAGTTTCATTTGTAATAAACTTTACTTCTCCCTAATGGGCCCCATGTCACATCCCTGAAAAGATGCAAGGACCACCCTTGTCCTTTCCTTTCTACACTGGATGTTCAAACAGGATCACATTCTCAAAATCAAGCCTGTGTCTTCTTCCAACACAGTGCCAACTGGAGATGTTCCTCCCTCTCTCCCTCTTCACCTTCCTCTTAGAACTCCTTCCTTCCCTTCTTGCCTCTCTACTCTCTTCCCCTCCCCCTTCCCTTCCTTTCCCTTCTCTTCTTCCTTCCTTCACTCAACCATGCTCCTTCTTCCTCATTACAAAAACATCTTACCTTGACCACACACTTAGGGGGATGCTTGACCCCACACTTAGGGGAATGCTTGCACCTCAGAGAGATCCAGACAACCCACATAGCACCACTAAAGCACCCCTAAGATCCTTGCCTGCTCCAGTTCCCTTCTGCATGCTACAGCTGGGTAGCTGCTGACCTATCACAGAGGACTGGGGGAGGGGGGTCCAATGGGAGCACCTTTTGGCTGAGGACCTTATCTGCCCTCCTTTCTTCCCCTCTTCTTTCCTTCTGTCCCTTCTCTCCAAACTACAGACATGTTGCTTACAATGGTGTTTAGCTTGTCATCTAGAAAAGTCTAGAGTGTGCAAATTATGACATTACTTCTCCATCATTTTAAAAAAGAACACCATAAATATTCTTTTACTGAAATAACCCTTCTCCCATTGCAAATGGTGGGAGATATGCTTGCCTGTTTACAAAAAACAAACAAACAAAAAAAAAAACGGGAAACAAGTTTCCACCAAATCCTAAAAAATTCCCTACTAACAATTTCATTCCATAATTGTTGTGCCCTCTCATCGGATGGTGAGCGAGAGTGCCTGGAAAGAAGCCGAGTCCTCAAAGACTGAGGGCCGGATCAGAACTTCAGGGATGTGGAAAGGTTAGAATGCTGCAGGTTCTGACAAAATTATATTTTATCTTGGCCTAGCTACCAAACCAAAAGTTTAGACTGTTATCAGATAGCATCCTAGGAAACAAGAGAGATTTCCCCATCTTTCTGTAACTGCCTCTCTGATGTCCCCACCAACGTATTTTTAAGACCTTATGACTAATAACTGGATTTGTTCTAACTCCAAGAAGCTGCTTCCATATGGGAATGTGGAACCTGGGGTAACCTAGCTCCATGTTTCCAAGGCTTTAGTGATTCAAATTTGTCTTCAGAATAACCTCTTATTCCATTTGAGGTGAGAGCTGTGTTTTGTGTAAGGTGTGAATTGCTCCAATTACTGTAAGACTCAGACACTGATGACAACAATCTTCAGTTCTCCTCTTCACAGCTGTGAATATTACACTTCTCATGTAGAACGCGCTTTGTCTTAGGTGACCAGGTGATGAGCAAAAGTTCTTTTCAAAAGTGTTTCTTTTCTTTCTAAAGAACTAAAAAACAAAGAGAGAGAGAGAGAGAGAGAGAGAGAGAGAGAGAGAGAGAGTCTACTTTCTGTTGTAGAAGGATTAGCTTTCAAAATTCAAATTGCACATTCAAAACCAGGATGAGCTCCCGGAGAAATCATGTAAGAACACTCACTTAGAATGAAATATGATTATGGTTTGTGATACAAGGAGGGTCTTTTTTCTACCAAATCACATTTTATTCCCGAAAAGACACTATAAACCAGTCCAATAACTAAAATTCAAATACAATCAGGGCTTATTCAAACCAACATCCAGGAGCTTGGGAAAGAAAGAAAGGAAGAAAGAAAGAAAGAAAGATGAAAGCAAAATCTTTATGCAGATAAAAGAGCAATTCTGATGTTCTGTTATTGCATGGAATAGGATATGGGTCTGCTCAATGCAATACTTCCAAACAGCAAAAAAATGCCTATAATTAAACTACGGTGACTTACAATCACTCGCCTTGAGGTGCTGCTCCAGAGGGCCATGGAAGTGGGCTTATGTTGTTTGTTGCCTACTGCTCGATTTCTCTTCCACAGTCAAACATAGAACATTCCCATCCATATTGCATCTGCTGTTCTCTAAGCCCCTCCCTCGGAGCTGACCACTCAGTTTCCATAGTAACTACTATATAACTGTGGTTCCGAGGTAGCAAGAGAGGAGAAAGAAAAACAGACAAAAAAAGACTAAACCTAGGTGGGTGGAGCATTAAAACATTCTCTACCAGGAACTTTTGCTTGTGTGTGTGTGTTTTGTTTGTGTTCTGTGTGTTCCTGTGGAAGAATACTTTTCACAGTGATGCTTGCATCCATAGTCATGATTGTGCAAACAAACAGCATCAAAGCAGTGCACTGGTCCGGAGCCCCTGTACCCACCTTTCATTCTGCCCATATAGATAGTAACGCAGGAAAAAGGATGACCTCCAACTGGAACAAGGAGCTTCGCAGCCCACTGCCATAATGAGTTAATCTGTTTACTGATGCGTGCTCTATCCAACTGATACATCATTTGAGACTTTGAGTAAGTACATACCATAAGGCAACTTCAGTCACCCATGACAGCTTTCCCTGTTCCAAAGGACGCTCTCACCTAGCTCCAGAAATAGCTTCTTTCTCCAACTTGAGAGAGCAAAAGTCCCTTGCTGGGAGTGAAAGGATCTCTTGGGGATTGCAAAGGTATTTACTCCTGAGTTCACGCTCCCTTATTTACAGGCGGGAGCTCTTCCGAAGTTAGAGGATTTGGAAATCTGACCCCATAGGGCAGGGTGGTGTCGAAGTGAGGGAAGTCAGATCAAACTGGCTCCCTTTTCAGTCTGAAAATTCGAAAGCAGTGGGAAGAAATGCTGGACCTATCACAGCGATGCTAACAGACAGCCTATTACAGTATTTAATAAAAACAGAAGCAGCATGCCTGTCATAGGCTAATAAATCCTACCTCCTGCCCGCTTTTAAAAAACAGTCTGAACCGGCTTCCACAGAGCTTCAGAGAACTAATCTTAAGCATGGCTGTCTAGCGTGCCCGTCACTCCTATTGTCCTTCCAAACTCTTGCAGACATTTTGAGCGAGGAGTATTAAAGCCATGAGTTAGCGAGGGTGTGACATCAATGGTCCAGAAAGGCTGCCAGCACGAAGGGTAAAGATGAGTACGGGAGGCTGTGCGGAGGACGGCACGGGATCGCTCTCATTAAAAATTAAGCGTGGCTTTTGAAGAAGATGTGACAACTACCGGAGGTAGGATTTGCATGGAAAACAAAGGAATCTGTTGCTGTTTGGTGCTTTTTGTTGTTTGATCGGCGCTGGGGTGCTGTGTGGGTCAGCGATAGCAGGCAGCCAGGTGCGACGGAGAGAGGCTGAGTCGGCGTGGGGGCTCCACGTTGACCTAAACGCAAAACACAGTGGGCAGTGTGAGGTTTTATGGCTGGAAAGCCTCGCGGACAGACTGGTTCCCGGCTCTCTTGGAGCCTGCTGAGTGTGCACTCCACGTTGCTTCTCGTGGAATAGAAGGCTTAGAGGTCATGGAGAAAACAGTTCATTTCTTACCAGTGGTGCCAGATAGGCTGGGGAGGGGGCATTGAGAGAAGACTTTGGTGGGTGGGAGGCAGAGAGATCCAAGAAAAATAGACGAGGAAGCCGTGCTGAACTTGAAACCTGTTAGGTAAATATTTTTTTTTTCCTGAAGTCAATGTGCGTTGGTGGTCAGAGGGTAATTTGGAGATAGTGATGGATTTCCCCCCCATAATCTACTACAAGAGAAAACTGGTTTCCTCCGTCCATCTTGCATGTTGAAAAGCTGATCCACACCATTCCGTTCCTCTTAATGGCTTTGCTAAAAACAGACCTGGAGTTGGGGACCGAAGAAGGGGCTTTTTCTCTCTCGATTCCTGTCTTGCCTTTTAACAGCTGCTGGATCGCAGATGGAAATGGGGATTTATTAGAGGTTAAGGGCTTGACCTTTTATTTCCTTAATGAGCAGCATAAAAGCATAATTCTCCTTGAAGATGAGAAGGGTAGGTGGGTTCCACAGTCAGGGAGGAGGAGGTCATGAGCTGATTTGGCAAGGAACTACAGCTCCCTGCACTTCAGATGGGATCTGGGAAGCTCTGTGAGAGGGGGCTGTAGGAACCACCCGCTGAGATTTTACAGGCAAAACTACCCTGCTCCGAAACCCAGGTTTCCGCAATTTGATCTGTGGTGCCAGTTTAGTTCTGTCATTGCCTGTGACCCTCAGTGTGAAGTGGCGGGGACAAAGTGAGTGTGTTCCTCTGCTCTGGTGCGTCCTTTCCCTGTGGACTTCACTCGCTCCTCGCTGATAGATAATGCTTCCTATCCAGAAGACAAGCAAACAAGCAAAACCTCCGAAACTCCGAGTTACAATGCGTGGATTTATTTACGATGAACACCAAAGAAGCTTCAAATGTTCATATTTATAAAGAGTGCGAGGTTCTCCACTGGTCTAGAACATCTGTATAATGCAGCATAAATTAAAAATAAGTGTTAAGGACAATTACAGTATGTTCGTTTTCAGCTAAATATAAATCCTGGAGATAAGGTTAAGTGGGATGCCTGTGTTTTGAGCTCCTGTGTACACATTACACACAAACTCGGGATCATTTTCCCATGGCTGAGACACCTCTGGGCTTGAAGTTGTGTGTCTGTTCCTCAGGGCAGTTTACTGAACCAGCTACCAGTCCTAGCTGCTCTTTAAGTGACCTGGAACACGTGACTATGAATAACTGGATTTCTTAGTAAGATTCAGAGCTAAGATGTAGTTTGTGCTTCTCTGTGGCTAGTGGAGGGCATGACCTTGACCTTGTGAAGTCCCCGTCTCTAGCCAGTTGAGGTCTCCAGTGAAGACTCTATACCGAGAAAAAGACAGAGCTCAGGCTTCATAAGCACAGATTATGTCACAGAAGTTAGCAGGCAGGGGCTGCTGTTTTCCTGGACTTTAAAAAGACTTTTCGTGACTTGAGTCTAACCAATTTTACCTAAATCTGATTGTATCAAGGATTTCTTTGAAGGACAATTGATGCCATGAAAGCAACAGTGGAGGGACGATTTTCTTCTAGTTTTGCTCGAACACTTCACTGATAAACTAAAATGATTTCCACACTGTGCACAGATTTGTAGGGAAAGTCCTTACGTTAACTCTGGTTGGTATGTGTCCGTCGGGATTGTACCTCATGAAAATGTAAACCAGGAGGAAACAGGGTGACTTGGGTTTTATTTTTGTCAGCTATGAGGAAAGGTGAGCTGAGTAATTTACTTACTTGATCAGTCTACTTTGTGTGACAAATTAAATCCACTGCCCATTTATGATGTCGGTAGGCACCAGCCAGAGAGTCCCCCATCATCTTTCCCTTTCAGTTTCTGCTCCATCCAGTTAATGCAAAACAAAACCTCCTCCAGCTATACAGGAAGTATGCCAGGCATCCTCCCAGATATAAAAAACAAACAAGGCATCTGTCAGTCTTGTTATCTCAGTCCTCCTGGCAAGAACCCACCGTCTCAGTGACCAAGGTACCAAGAACCTACAGCCATCTTTCTTTTCAGTCCCTCTGGTCTATACCTGGTCTAGGCATGCAGCCTCCACTCTGTCTGTATCTACTAGAAGTGATATTTCTCACACCGACACCACCTTCTCTTCCAGATCTCTCTTCTCTTGGAAATAATAATAGTAAAAAATTCTTCCTCCTCCAAATCCCTTCTGTAGGATCAAGAAGAAAAGTAAACCACCATAATATATCTGCAACACAGCCTTGATTACAAGAGCATATGTGCAACTGCGCAATACAGTTCAGCTTACAATATAGGGATGCAATATAACTCTAATTCTAAGAATGCATGTGTGTTTGAAAAGATAGAAAAAAAATGTACACCAAAGGAGCAGCAGCAGCAGCTTTCTCGGTATGGTGCATGCATTTTTGTACTTTCTAAGATGTTTTGTGGGAAGTGTTATCCCAATGGTCACAGGATACTGGTGTAGGAGTTCCTTCTGTTTGCATGTTACTTTCATTGGTCAGGCCCTTCCCCTACAACAGGACACGTGTCCTAAAGCCCACCCACGTCTCCTTTCCATCCACGCTGCCATTTCACCTCCTAGCTTACTTCACGGCACCAACTATGTCTTCATCTAAAATTCCAGAATCATTTGTTTGGGCAAGCAAGACAGTGCAGGTGAAGTATCTCTGCCAAGGCTCCTTGGGTTTTTGGCTTTTTAATACTCCTTGAGGAGCTCAGCATTAACCTCTCTGAAATACTGACTCCCTTGTCTTTACAGAGCTTGTCTAGAGAGGAGGAGGGGTGTGTGTGTGTGTGTGTGTGTGTGTGTGTGTGTGTGTAAAATTCTATTCATTTTTCAGGGTTTTCTTATCTTCAATTAAGTGTATATGTCTGTATGTGGGCATGTGATGGAGTTCAGGGGCCCACAGATATCAGAGGCATGGGACTCCCCAGCAGCTGGAGAGACAGGCAGTTGGGAATTGCTGGAACTGAATTCTGGGAAAGCAGTTCAGGCAAGTCCTCCCTGAGAGCAGCAAGCACTCAACCACCAACCTATCATTCCAGCCCTTTCACTTAGTTCTTAATGGAGGTCATTTTCAAATTCTTTTCTTCATTCTCTGCTAAATCTTAAAATGTTTGAGTGTTTCACGGATTAACTATAAATCTCTTCTTTATCTGTATTTAAGCTCCACATATGTCAAGTCCTGTCTGGAGTCTTTTAAGACTATCCATGGACACACAGCTCACACATTCTGGGGCCTAACCTAGACCCCCTACTGACATAGCTAACTCCCTGCAGACCAGCTCCTTAAACATCTTATAGCCGCCTCACTTACTGTGTTCTAAGTCATATTTCTGGATTCCTCCTGAGACCACCTTCCCATGTCACTGGAGACTCCACTGTTCTGTTTTCACAGAAGCAAACTCTGGAAGTCTTTGAATCCCCGCGTCCCCTCACAGGCCATAGTGCCTAGACCCGCTGCCCACCCCTTCAGTGTAGACCTAATTCTATCATTGTTTGTTCCGTGGCCTTTTGTCAACTCCCCAAAATTAGTGGACTTTTTTCACAACTGATCTCTTCCTCTCCTTCCTTCTGTTCGCATTCAATCCTGTCTCCCAAACCAGTGTTGTATCCCAACTGAAATTTAACAATATCTCTTACTCAAAAGCCTCCCTCCTCTGCTTACCCATCTGCCTGCAGGTTGCAGTCCAAATCTTGCAGGGACCACAAGTCCAGCTCTTCCTTCACTATTCCCAATCCACTGTAGCCATGGTGGCTGCAGGGGGAATCCTCAGACCCACCCACACCCAGATCTTACAGCCTTTGTCCCCCCACCACCACCACCGTGCCCTTCCCTAGAAAACCCTCTTAGTCCCGAGCCTCACTGCTTTAGGTCTCTGTTAGGAGCCTTCTTATGAAGTAGGCACTCCCTAGGCTATGGCCCCGTGGTTGAACCTGTCGCCCAATGTAGGAGTTAAATGTTTTTCCTCATCAAAATCCACTGTCATGTTAGATCCCAAGCACTCATTATTTTCAACCTTGGGGACTAAACTCTGCACCTTAACATCCTGTTATGTTTTACAGAGAGATACCAAATACCTTGAATAAGCCAAGGAGATTTACTAAGAGGATTTTCTTCCTTCTCTCTGCATAGGAGGGGACCACTTCTCCGATCCCAATCTATGTCAAAAGAAATATAAATTCAATTTGTCTGAATTTGCTCTTATCCAAACATTCAAAAGAACACAGCATGTCTCCTACAAATGACTATGACTGTAAAATGCCCCCATCTTTCCTCTGCTTTCCTATGTTGATCCTGGAAGGAATAGAAAGACACATTAGAAGGTTCTAGGAGAATCTAGGATACTGGGAATCAACCAGTTATATCCAACAACTGTGGTGTGTTATTAAGTCACATTCTCCCCTTATCCAAGAGGTCTCTTTAACAGTGGTCTCCTCCTATGTATAAAGTATATATTCTCCACTAAATACATCACAATACATTACCTTATTGCCCAAAGCACAAAGAAGAGATGGTGGCTACTATGTCTACAAGAGCCTGGAAAGGTATGTGCTAGTGACACAGCACCCAAGAACAGGAACTCTTTTCTTTTTTCTTGGGGAAAGTTTTAACTCTTAATGAGCTTCAGTTTCCTTGTTGCATTTGGTGATGAAAATACATATATCTAGGCTGGAGATTAAAGACGATCACGTATGCCCCCCTTCTCCA